TTCCAGTTTGTAACCTCATATAACAATTTTCCTGGCAAGGCTGAGATAATTCTTGTCCTTAGGTTTTTGTGGCTTAAGTTCAATGTAAATCACTCTACTTTCTCAAATCATGCAACAACTATTTATTAATATAAAATTCACATCCTGCAGTCAATTTCCATTCTCTTTAGCAAAAACAGAACATTGTGATTCAATTTCACCTAATTATTTCTGTTTTTGTCCATGTAGCATTCCTCAGTCATAAACAAGTCACATCACTAATTGATAGTCTGCAAAGTTTATAATAAAAGAGATACTGATTCAAATGTAACAGTGCTGCAGAAACTGATACGTATGTAATATGTGACTGACTTCTGTGCATTAAAGTATGGGTGCATCCAGTGTGCTAAGTTCATGATTATGCATGTAAATACAGTATGGATAACATAGTCTGAGTTAATGTGTGAAGCATACATATTTGAGTAAGTGACTATCATTGTTTTACTGCATGACTTCCATATAGTTCTGAGTTCTTTGATGCTGACTGGCTACTGTTGAACCTCAGTTTCCATCTTCAGTGTTGAACCACAATAAGAGGAGATCACAATAAAAATGAAAATTAAATGAAAACACAACTTTTACATGACAGTGGCTGATTTATGACAGAAGTCACATAAATGCAGCAAATGTTTGGTCACACATGGACAGAAATGAACTGCAGTGGTCTGCTACCGGCCTCCAGTCTGACTCGGACTCCTGTCGTCATCTAATGCAGGCTTGCGACACACAAAGAACACGCTCTCATATTCATACTGCAACATTGACTTTGGGTTCTGTGCATAGGTCGTTTTTACATGTGTCTCCTCCTTCTGTGGACAAAATACAAGTCCTTCTGGGAAGAGAATCTAAGACTAGGTCAAAACAAATCAAGCAAGCTCATTTGTAAGAATTAATGAGATGGTGTACATTGTGACATACCTCTATCTCAAAGCCAATGCCTACAATCACCTCACGTACAACTTGGTAGCTGGGTTCAATGGAGTTTTCGTTGGCAAGATCTGAGAAGTGGTATAACAGGGGTCCAAGATTGATCCACAAACCTCCTGTAATATCACCATATTAGTGAGCTGTTTCAATTTATAAGTTTAATGAAAAAATGTTACTTTAAATCCTCACTCCGTCTTGAATACATTTTTCAGTACTTCTAAGCTAAAACTATTTTCTCAAGCAGTCCCTTCAAAATGTGAAAATTTACAACTTCATACATACATTTATTTATTTATTCTCTGCAAACAAGATGTTAATGTAATAACAGGCCAATGTCCTTAGCCACCTCCCACAATAATTTCACTTTACGTAATGAGCAAAAAGAATGTACAACAAAATCTACCAGAGCAGTCACTTTCAGTTGCAAAGTTAGTACAATAAGGTAAGGAGCTGACCTGGCTTCAAGATGTTGTATATAGTCTCAATGAATGCTACAATGTTGTTTGCACAGTCGATAAAGAAGCAGGTGGAGATGCAGTCCCATTCATCCTTTTCAGTGTATACCTATATAACAAATAACACATTGCTACAAGTGACAGCTTGCAGAATTCATTACTTTCCCTTGCTATTTATTATGATTTCTACCACACATGGAAGGAGTAGCTAAAGGAAAAGTGCTTCTAACATTGAGTTGGAACACATGGCATGAAGCAACTGAAGCTCTTTTGATAAAGTGTCCAAGGGCTTGATGGTCTTGGGCAGGAAACAATGCAGGCTGATAACAGGGATGTTAACTGGACAGCCATTTTACATATTATGGACCTCCCGCAAAGTGCCAAGTGCAGGAAATGTGGACAGGAAGAGGAAAGTTCCAGAGATCCTTGCAGCATCCATCATCAAGGTGATGCAGCAAGAACCTCTGAAGCGTTAGTAAATTTCTATCACAGTACACAGCACTACAACCTAGAAGGCAGCCACCTTCATATCCACCACCATGGCTAGAGTTCACAGATATTCTTCTTTATTACACCGTCTCCTTTACAGGAGGTCGGCGACATATTACGAACAGGACCTTTCCATCCTTTTCTCGGACTGGGACCTGTTCATATATGTTTTTTAGGCAGGGGATACAGAAGTGGTTTGCCATTGCCTTCTTCTGTGTATGGAGTATGGCGTAAGTGTTGGGATACCACGGAGAAACCGGGGAAGCCCCAGAGGAAAACTCCACCAGGAATCGAACCCGGGACACCAGGATTACAAGGCCAGCGCACTAACTGCCAGACCACTGTGGAGAGCCTAAATTACGGGGGTTCTGGCTCTAGCAATGCAGTTGGGGCTCTCATGATCAGAGGTGCACAAGAGACCCAGCAATGGTCTGAATGCCTGGGATGACTGAAGTTTTCTCCTCTAGATAAAGACCAATAACATAATAGCAACTATCATTTTAATGCTAATGTACTCATTGTTTCTAACATACATTATGTAATGACAAATAACAAGCTAACTTACAAAAAGAATTATCTTTAACTTTATTTATTAATGTCACTAGAGATTGCTGAAAACAGTGAACAAATAGTTGTCATTGTGAAGAAAGAAATAGTTTAGTAAAGGAAAAAATTGACTTTGTAAAGACCTGGGGAAAAAAGAGAGAGAGTACAATATGAAATGGCAGAAAAGAGTTTTAAATATATTACGTAAAGAAACAAAAAGACTGAAATAAAAATATATCAGAATTGCATTTCAATCTATGCAGTAAATTAATTGCTAGGTAAGACTTCAAGAAGAGTGGGGATATTATTCATCACCACATCCAAACTGATTCTGGAATCACTTTTCATGTGCAAATACTTACTTGGACTGCCATGTTTATTATAAAGACCACTTACAAGAATTAAGAACAAAAACAATGATGATAGTTGTGTTTCTTCTATATAGACATTGTAGCTTAACTGAGGAGCAGATACAGAGTCAACAGTTACTTATAATTGTCTACTTTGGTATCTCGAGTGTGGATAAAATATCTTGTGCTGTCTTCTAACACAAGATAACATAAAACACATCTTATACCACTGGGATACAAATGTATGCATACCTCTAGGAAATCTCCAGCTGCCATGGAGAACTGAGCGTTTGGTGGAAGATCTGCTGGATTGATGTCTGGGAATGAGACACCCTGAGTCTGGTGTTCAGGAAGCAGGTTATTCACATACTGATGTACCCATGGAAACACATGGTACACATTTGTGCCTCGGCACCTAGAATCATAGATCCCAGTCTCCTATTTTTACTGTTACCATCCACCCTTGCAGTCAAATGGTAAGATCTGACGTTCTCACAGCAGTCAAGCTGTCAGTTATGGTCTGCTGAGTTGTGTTACAATCTTGGAGGTGGTTGCCAAAACTTCAAAGAAACATATTGCCTCCATCTTCAGGAGATGCTTTCCACATAAATACTGTTATATGTAACATATGATGTGGATTCTCACCATCCCCAGATACAACATAGCTAATTTGTGCCCCAGTACATTATTCTTCTTCTTTTTCCGGTTTAACAATGTTTGTACATTTTCCGGTACCCTTTTCAGGTCCCCAACTTTTCAGTTGGCTTGATCTATGGACATATGGTAGGACTCCTTGGACGAGGGATCGGCCCGTCGCAAGGCCTCTACCTGTACACAGGACAACACAACACAGAAAAACATCCATGGCTTGAGTGGGATTCGAACCCACGGTCCCTGCGACCAAGCAGCACAAGACCCACGCCTCAGACTCTCCCGCCACAGTTTGGGAAACATATGAAGCAGGTTGTATGGGAGGATGTGGTCGAATGCAAACCGGATTCACCAGGAACCCACACATGTTGATAGCTGGATGCTGTCTGCATCTCTGATGAGGCAAAATTCAACTGTGCAGCAAAGTCAACAAGCACAACTGCTGCATATGGGGTATTAAAAAAATCCCCATGTTGTGCTAAAACATGAAAGGGACACACTCAAAATAAATGTTTTGTGTGGGCTGATGACAAATTGTGGCATAGTCATTTCATCTTGTAAACGGTGACAGTGAATCGAAACATGTACCTGGACATGATATAATTTTCCTGTTCTGTGCACGTACTTGAATTGAACATCTCCAGACCAGTGGGTTGGAAGAGGAGGACCCATTGTCTGGCCACTTCCTCCACTAGACTTATTTTCGTAAGGATCTGTGATGAATGTCATGTTCTAAGAGAGAATGCAAAATTTGCAATGATAGTGTTTTCTGCACCTTTTATTTGCGGAACTAACATACAGCACATAAACACGCCTTAATTTGAAAAGAACTGCCAGACTGCTGAGTTATGATGTTAAGTAGATACAGATACAGGTGAATATAATCATAATCAGTTGCAATTGTGTGACAAGGGAAAGTGCAATGCTACAGACACAAAATCCTAGAGCAAGCCAGCAAAATATTTCCAGGTGTTTCTCCCTTTTACATGATGAACCCAGCCATCAGTGGGCACTGTGTTGGAGATATCCTTGGTGAAAAAAGAAAATGAGAGGATGAGATGTGTGAAAGTGTGAAATGACTGAAGGGTGAATAACTTGAAGACCCCGAGGATGTGTTACTTATTTGGTTATGGCAAGTGAATGAGAGAAATGGAAAAGCACTGACAGCATTATTATGGAATAACTTAAAGTATTTTGACAGCAGATAAGCCTGAAACATTTCTGACACAAAAACTTGAATGTATTTTTCTCCAAAGAGTTAAATTACAGTAAAAGACAAACAGGCCTTCTGTATATAAGAAGGTACTATTACAAACTACAGATACAATTTTTCTTTTTCTTTTGCCCTCAGATATTTAACACACCATACGGCACTTTAAAACATTAATAAACAAATACACCCAAAAATAAAACATAATAATGGTCATAGACAAAGCATGGCACTCTAATGGGCCTTGACTGTAATATCATGCATAACCAATGTAAGTTGTAGCTCAATTTCTATGGTACCCACCCAGTTTGTTAATGATACTCACATCCATTACCGTTGCAAGCCTATCAGACAGGTAACTATATATATCAATTTACAAAGACCTATCTGTCAAACCTACATAAGGCACTCCCAAGACCTAAGACTCAGTACATTAGTCACTGCCCAGACATGTTTTAAATTCTGAAATAGAGGCAAGTCTTCCCAGACTATTATATGTAAAGCTTCTCAGCTGAAAATGCACCTAACATCTAAGGATTTCACTACAATTTATAAATTTTACTAGAAAATTATCCACCAAAGAATGATGGGAAAACAGCAAGCCCTGAATATTTATATTGCAGCATGGTTACTATGTGGCTTTCAGATCCTTAAATCCTTCAGCAGATATATTCGAGGTATGTTATGTTAAAACTTTACCACCAGCCAACCAACATATATTTCAACACATACCATACACTACACATTGCATTTATGATCAGTTTATAATACGAAGTCAAGGCTCTTTGAATCTATGATGTTCTGTAAACAATAAGTCACCAATGAACAACTGAATCCGTAAAGAAGAAAGAAAACAATGTTTAAAATGTATGTTCATATATTCTTGCAATACTTGTGGAAAATACATACATCAGATTGCAATCTGCCAAATTCTTAATTTTAAAAGAAGATAAGTAGGTAAGAGTCAATGAAGGGATACTAATGTTTTTCTACATTTCCTGCAGTCTGATAGTGATTTTAAAATATGATAAACCAACATTTGGGTATTATACAGAGAGATGGAGATTACATGGAGGTTGGCTTACTTGCGAAGACCCAGATCATCAGGAGAATTTAAGGAATGCTACATATTTCTGCAAACAAACAAATGCACTCACTTGTTAAGCACAAAGTTGGATGTGAACAGCATGAACAGGCTAAACTCATTGCCCTGGCACGTGTAACCACGACGAGCTATTTCAAACGCCAGTCGTCCAAGCCCTGCTCCTGGGACCAGCACTCGAATATCCTGAGGCGCACTGCAAAGGAATGGCAAACATTAATCCTTAAACCTGAAACGCACTGAAGTACTAAAATGTACTTGGCAGCATGCATAGTAATAATTTTAAAATTTAACAGTTAAGAAAGGAATACTTATCACAGTAACTGTTTTTCTCTCTCTCTCTCACACACACACACACAGAGTTTATAGAAATATCTCTCTGGCACTCTGATGAGTGTTTCTTCCTCTCTCAACTGTTCTTTTAATTATTTTTAACCTTTCGGCTTCAGATATCCCTATAACAAGTATATACCATGCCTAAAACAGACATTAGTTTGAAATGCTGGAACTGGTATTTCAATTATTGTGCACCAAACTGAAATCATGATTAAAAAAAGTCAAAAGACTAACTTTATGAAACACATAAATTTGTGCTTTGGGTGGGACTTTTGACACATACACTGGATTTGACGCATGTTGGTGGTTTGGTACCTTGAAGAGTCGAAGATTTAACACAGCCAAGATAATGGTTGATACTGATAATTATTGGGTAAGGGAGAAAGAGCTTCAATATTTATGGTTTCACAACCAGAATTTGTTATTAATATTATTTGTTCACTTTTCAGAATTTCATATATACATGTGGAAAACAAAAGCTGTTGTACAGGCTTAATGTAGTTGTCCTTCTGGCCCACTAGCAAATGCACCTGACTTGTGCCATTCCATAAATCTTTCCTTATATCCCCTCAAATATCCATCTGTCACATATTCTAATTTCCAAGTCCTTACGATTTAATTGAAATTCTGTATGAGAAAACGTTCTTAAACTTGGTGGAATATAACTGATATTAGTATTAGAATGACATTAGTATTATTTTATCTCACTTCAAGATTCACTACTATGGAGCAATGTGTAAAATAGAATAGAAAAATAAAATAAAATAAAGAAAAACAAAAATTGCACAGAGAAGATGATAAAATCTACAGTAATGAGGCATCAGAAAGGAGGCAAAAACACAACACAACTAATAAAATGAAAACCAAACTAGAAAATGGAGACAAAACTGGCTACAAAACATAGCATATTCTAGCGCAAAGATAAAGAGCAAGGGAGACAAAGCATCTCCTTGTTTTAGACCGTTCTTGATGAAGAATGTCTCAGATCCAGTAACCTACAAAGTACAAACACGAACAGCAATGCAAGAGAGGCAGTGAAGAGTCACAGAATGGTATTAACAGAATAAATCTGGTGTCATGTAATGTACATCAGAGTTATTAAAATATCTTGAACTAGTTGCTGGCTTCCTAGGCTTGCTTGTACAGTGCAGTCACTGATAAAATGGAGCACAACTGCCACTTTCTGGCTCCAAGAAGGAACAGCAGGATTCACCACCCAGCGCTACAAAATTTTCTCCTTAAGAACAAAATTAACTTACCTGTTTTATAAGCGGTGCTGAAAATGATGCCCTGTGACAGATACATCCCAGTCTATCAGTAAACACACTGTATAAAGAAGGCCTATGTAGATTCATTTTTCATCATTTAAAGACAAGTGACCTTGGGAATTTTAAGTATATCAAATGCCCAATATGACAGGGCCATTAGAAGACAGCATGGAAATCATCTCTTAAACTAAGCTGTTATGAGCAAGGTCCAAAGTCAGCTCAGAGGACGAATAAAATGTTTAATATTACCACATGTCTGTTGAAAAGTGTGACACTATCTCCTCCACTATTGGCTGGTAGCAGGTCTGGCGTTCTTGGGCCCCCTCCTCACTCCAGTCTCGCACAAACTGCTTTAGAGTAGCATGAACTTTCTCAAGGTCAGCTCCACTGGGACGGGAACTCACAATTTTAACCTATGAAATTAAGTGGAATCAGTATATCTGTATCCACAAACAGAATGTTTTCCTATGTATTGTTCATCATCACAACAAAACCCCAAAAAACAGAAAGTAAGAAAAAGTAAATGAAGCCAATTATAAACTGCAAATTTATTTTTTGCCAATTTAATATCCTGCCTTTCACAAATTCCTCTATCAATATTTGATATGGCTATTTTACCCACGCATCTTGTAATTCCAGACCTTCTTAATGGTAACCATGTAACATTTATTGCACAATTATATGTCAGTTTCAAGTGTTATGACTTTGGCACTAACTGTTTATATTTATCTCGTAGCTTCACAATATATTGGTTTGTATATTAAAATGTTTTATCACTGCCATAATGTGATGTACATGAGAAGAGGCAGTGATTGGTATTCTCCATTGTAAGGCTATGCTACTGTGCCTACTAAAATAATTCAGGCTCCATTTCAGACAATACAAGTATATTTAGAGAATTAAATAACACTCAGGAAAAACCTTACTCTGGTCTTCGCTGGCAAGATATTTTATTCAGCTTTCAAATTCACATTCTCATCTCTAGACAAACTGTCTGATTAAAATATCTTTATATATTAAACCAAAGACTTACTCTTAAGACTTCTTTAAATGGCACCTTGCCTGCCTTTGCAGCTACTGACATATTTAAATGGCAGCTATATCTGGATTCTTCTTTTCATTTCAACTTTTCCTGAAGATCATCCTTAAGGCTAGCAAGCACATATTTCTGAAAACTGTACATTTACTGAATACTGTGTGCTTCCAGTGTCTAAACTTGTAACTTTTCAACCCATTCCACTTATATGTAAGAAAGTACTATAAATGTATTAGTTTAATAAAAGTATTCTAACAGAAAACAAATGTAAATATTTTGTAATCTACCCCGTAAAACTCATCATCACTATCCTATGTATGCAGTAACTTATACACACTGGTTCTGTTGGACCTGTTGGGTTCACATTCTCAAACATGTATGCAACATCCCTGATGATCAATTTGATGATCTGATCATTGCTCTCAATGCAGGCTCTGATTTCTGTTAAATGTCGATGATAGTTCTCCAGCAACTTCTGATGATGAGCTGGTAAAGATCTTAAATAGTTCTCAGTCTTTGCAACTCGCTGGAGAGAGTGTGTCCTGTCAAGCAAACAGCATCACTTATTCAATACCCTGTTGGAGGTCTCATGGCTTGAAGTTAACTACAGTCAAAAGATACTAACAGTGCATATCGCTGCATAAAAATAGGTAGGACCAACAGTGGGCACAACAAATTCTATATCAAACCACTGAATACTAATATACTTGCATTAACTTCAGAATCAATAAACAAAAAACATACTGTACAACTGAACCACATGCAGTTTTATGACTTCATGTCTACAAATTTATTGTGGCCGAGAGATGTGTAGACAACTAACTACGAACAAGTCTCATGTACAGATACGTGGCCACTTCGCAATTTGCACATTGAACACGGGCAAACCGAAGTGCAATTCTAGAGTTTCACAATTTCAAAATGTGTGTCAACGGCAAAAACTTCCGAGACAGGTTAGAACAATTCAATACAATTATTTTTAAAATTACTTCTAATATCTGTGCCGCCTCACCTGTAATATTTGAAAGCAGCTACAATTCTTTGAAAATGAGCTTTCTCTTCTTCGTCGTCATGTGGGCTGCGCATTTTTCGGGAACTTCTTGTGCTTGAATCATCCATTTTCATGGGACCCTTGACCTACCCAACAGTGGCGGAAAAATCATCAATTTTACTTTACGAATACAGTAACCATACAAGCTTTCATAATGTTACACCCTTAGTAGGTCATCTGTGTTCTCTACGAATCAGTGTGCCCTCAGATTTTTATTACCCAACAAAATTTCTCCTTTCATTTCATTTGTTGATTGGTTATGATAAACACGAGACAATCGTACACGATTGTGAGACTTCCTACTCGTTTACCACCTTAGACATAGATAATACCATAGATAACCTATGATTATTGTGCTATGATTGTGAGAGGTTAGAACACAAGCAGAAGTTCATTTAAATGCCTCTAATTTTGATAACAGGGATTCCATCCAGCGGGAAATCTACACGGGCGTTACAAATAAAATCATTCTTTGAAGACGTACATGAAAAAACTGTTTTTCTTGTTAACGAAAACGGCATTATTGCTGCTAATGGGACCGAGAAAAATGTTTTATTTTTAGGCAAGTTCAGTGCTTGTTCGTCATTTTATGCTTTCATAGGTTTCACTTAATGCGACGTGTTGATTTGTTCATAAATGCATGATTGAGGATACTCCTGCATGTTACATTAAAACTTTCATTTCAGATGCTACGAAAGAGAAACAGATTCGTGGTCTTGTCATGTCTGAAGCTCAAAGGTAAACAGTTTTTTTGCGTGTGTCTAGAGGTGTTGCAATTTGTGAAGTTCCTGAAACTGTTTAAAAACATATATTCTATGTGCTACACTGTTTTCAGATTAATTAACAGAGAAGATGTTGTTATAATTGATGCTGGAAATTACATCAAAGGTAAATTAACATTTACAGACTTTCATGTTCCATCATGTAGCAAACATTGATCTCTTGAAATAATTTATTTTTGGTGTTTGTTCAGGTTATCGCTATGAGTTGTACTGCATGTCCAAAGCAAACAAGACCACTCAGTGTACAGTTCATTGCGAAGTTCCATTGAATACAGCCTGGGAATGGAACAGTATGAGAGAAAAAGAGGATGATCGCTATACTCAGGAGACATTTGATGCTCTGACAATGCGCTTTGAGCCACCAGACAGTAGGAACCGGTGGGATTCCCCTCTTTTCACTGTCCTGCCTGGAGACAAAGTTCCAACTGATGACATGTATGGTGTTTTGTTTGAGAGAAATGCTCCTCCACCCAATCAATCAACGCAGTGTGTTAGTAATACATTTCATCTTATCCAGTAACTTGTGAACACACATTTCGACCACTAATATTCAGTGTTTTTTGAACAACCATGCAGGCTTCTCATTTTTGGAATGGCACTAAGATCTATAGAAATTTTGTTGTGGCTTTTGAATAGATCAATGTAGATTGATTTAAATGAAAGTAACAAAGAGTTATGGGATGGGAGTTGCTGGTTCCAGTTGTTGCATATTATCAGTAATACTTGGTTACTGCAATTCCATAAGCAGTGTAACTTAGTTATTAATTGTTAGTGTAACTAATGCCATGTTTTGTTTCCCAGGCCCCACTATCATCAACAAACTTCCTATATGAGATGGACAAGATAACACTGGATGTTGTCTCAGTAAGTATGCTGTATTGTGATGCAGTGTAGTATGTCTGCTGACAGTTATCTGTCAATAATAGAGCTGTACCTAAAATAGGTGAATACCATCACAAATTGTAGGATTTGAGGTTTTCTGAGGTGAGTCTGAAGATGGCTGTCTTCTGAGTCATTGCTCCGTGTAGTCTGGTAGAAGTTTACCGACGTTTGAGAGGACTTTGCTGCCTCCATCATCAGGGCAATGAGTCATCACCCTGATGATGGAGTGGGCAGTGAGCCAAGATATTAAGACCTGTGGAAGTTCCTGCTATGCATGCATTTACCTTAGTTCAGTGGATTGGTCATCAGCCTGGGCAGAGATATTCATTCATTGCAGTGTGTTAATGTTACCATCAGGATTAAACTAAAATGAAATGCATTCTAGTCAAGAAATTCTCTGCCTTTCATGGAACCTGAAGGTTCACGACTATGTTCACAAGAGCCCACAACAGGTCTCTGTCCTGAGCAGAATGAATCCAGTTCACATGCACCATGTCTAGGCCTTCTGGTCTCTTCCCGTCAGGCTTTCCAACAAAAATTTTGTATGTATTTCTCATCTCACCCATAGACACTATATGCCTCACCCATCTCACTACTTTATTTGATTCAAATAATATTTGGTGAAGAGTGCAAATTATAGATATCTTCATTGTGCAGTTTTCTCCTGTCACTTCATACTTCTTAGGTCTGAATATTCTTATAAGCACCCATTTCTTCTCAATCATTGTACTTCTCTTGACGTGAGAAACAAAGTTTCACACCCATACAAAACAGCAGGTGAAACTATAGCTTTTATCGACATTGAACCTGCTTTTGGGTGTTGGCACCGTGTGGAAGTTAGGCTTGCTGTTTTATATTGGAATCAGGTGTCAGTAAGGATGAGTGGGAAGGAGACAGGATGGTACAAAACATGAAAGCTTAGACAGGCATTTTCCACAAAGATAGACTGGAAGATCATTGCCACCTAGATCTCCTGTCCTAACACCTCTCAATTTTTACTTGAGGTTATGCATAGGATCTGATTTATTCATCTGAGTATAGAGGAGGTAAGAGACAGAATCAGGAATCCAGTGCAGTGTCACTCTGGAAACGCTGATTTAAGTCTTTCAAGAACTGGATTACTGTGTGGAGGCATGTCAAGAGTTGCACACATTGAATTTATGCCACTGTGAGAATGCTTTTGAGCTGGCTTCATTGCTGTACCAAAAGCAATGAATAAATCATGTTTTAAATTCAAACATTTATCATCCTCTGTGCATTTACAGTTAGAGCCAATTTGTGTTTCATGTAATTTTAAACTCAGATGAAACCCAAAACATTTCCTCACCATCATATGAAGGAATTGCTTATATGCAGAATCAGGCCATCTTCCCATAGGAGTTTACTAGATAATTATTAATATCAATATTTGGTGTTACAGGCCATTTTGTCAGCACAGAAGTTGGGGTTGGAGGGTGAAGTTAAAATTCCAGGCTACAAGGACTGTGTGCTCTTGACTAATGGTGCCAATATGACTGCAGCTCAACTGACTCGACTGCGAAGACAGTTTCTTGCTTACACAAAACTGCACCCAACTAATGACATCAGCAAAATTGGCTCACTATTTGTGCAATTCCTTAACACAAGTCTGAGGTGAAATGTACAAGATGATGCCCTTCTAACATGAACAGTTAAGAATGAAGACAGGCAATTCATTCATTTGTATACTTATTTGCCTGCTTTCACCAGTAAGTATCTAAAGTGGTCATGGTTTTAATGTGATAATTTATAGTTTTCTTTTCTTAAAAATCTAATACTATGGAAATCTGT